CATAGAAAATCAAGTTCTTGCTTAAAAAATCAGACGCTACAGACAGCATATAAACGAGTTTTCCGGTAAGTTTATCCATTGATCTTACTTCGTTGAGAAAAATTGGTGCGACTGACTCGTTTCAATTTGTTGCATGAAATGTTGAATTTAAAAACTAACGCCTACCTAGTTACGATTTTTTGATTTTTTGCTTTACATGAAGTATATTTATTAAATGGAATGCAAAGATGATGTGGAAAAAATAAGCATAACGTTTAGCAAATAATAAGTTTAGTTCGCTTGCTTTACTCGAATTCGATTTTCACAAAGGTAAGTATTTGACAAATTGAGGGTATTCATCTTAGGAAAAAATGTAATTATTGTTAACATATATTAATATTATTTAATTTATTAATATAACAATACTTACCAAAAGTTTTGGAAGTTACACAAAAACAAATTCATGTTTCTAGTATTCACATAATCAAAAGAAATTAATATGAATTAGTTTTATTTTCAACCAACAAAATTATCCATTATAAGTATCTTTATAATAAATATTTTAGATCTTTACATTCCTCTCACTAGCAACGTCCATTTTGACCTTGGTAATTCCTATCATTTCTGCTTCGCATTCGAGTTCGCAACTGTTACCGTAGGTTACTTGATCCGATCCACAGACAGGGGCAAAAATTTTAGGACACGGGCAAGGATGTCTCACTATATGGCCAGCAGACAGGACCAGGAAAGCAAGCATGCAGAAAGGCACCAAAACGAGGCAACGCATGGTTTTAGTTTTAGACTGATCGAAAAAGACTAAAGCTATCACAACCGACCTGCACTCAATATAAATGCATCAGGAAGTGGATTATATTTAAAGCGATAAATTAAAATGTCAATCAAACTGATAGATTTAAGTTTTTAAAATAAACAAAGTACACTCCAAAATAATTTATTTCGGTCATATTTAAATGGCAAAAGATTTTAAAAATTGTATGAAATAATTTGTGATGACGATAATTCCTTTTAGCTTTTCTTCTGGCGATCATTTTTTTGAACAGGCTCGTTGCGACTTATATACTGTCTGAAATAAAAATATGAGTTTTGGGAAAGTTTTATCGAAAGTAAAAGTTTTAAAACAGAGAGACTAGTTTGCTTGGCAAGGGATGAACACACGGTCTTGGCTAGATCGACACGTCTAGTGATGCTGATCAGAAATATGTACGTCTGCTTCACTGCCTTTCAAGCTTCTTACTGTAATCTTACAACCCTCTGCAAGGGTATAAACACAAAAGATTACGGATAATCTCTCAACAAAATCCGAAACTTTTAAAATAAAAATGTTATACTAGATTAATTTCCAAACCAGTTGTTCGGGAGGACTAAAATTCAATTTCTAAGGCATTGAAACAAAGTCGAAGGACACAGAGACGTGTGCATTGTTCACTTTGTGGGGGGACAGCTCTCAGGGACTCAGTTCTGGACTGAGGCTACGACTGAGCCTGTTCCTGACCGGCACTCGAGGGTTCAAGAAGGCTCTTAACCCGCTGCTTGAGGCTGTGGCCAAATCCACACCACTGTGCAAGGAGGTGGGATGAAAATAAATTAAAAATGTGTTGGACTAGCACCCACACAACAACGTGGACACTTATCCAGGCGGCCGCATACACAGACATATTAAGGAACGTGACTTGGCTGTCCTGAGACAACCACACACTCGCACCGCCATATAAGTTTAGCATGTTATGAAAAATGTATACACAGACAGGAGACGGAGGACTGAAGGACTTGGGAACTGGGACTGGGAATGGGACTGGGATTGGGATTGGGACTGAGGGGACTGCCTTTGTCCACCCGGCACGTAGCCGGCCACGCCCAGTCTCCTCGGCGACCGCCCCCCGCTTTTAATGACAAAAGTTATGACGACAAATGACTCGGTTGACTTTCACTGCGAAATCAGAGCCGGCGTTCCACAATGGGACCATGAATCATTTCCCGTTGACTTGACGCCGCTCTCTGAATTCACTTTTGCCATTTGGCCGCCTTGATTTGTAGTCGCTGTAGTGGCTAAGAGCGCTCCTCATTTATCATTATGCAAATTATAAATTTAATTTTAACGCAGTGCCGCAGATAATAATGTAAATGTTTTAATGCCTGGCTGATAATTATGCAAGTCTTGCTGCATCGGCGAAAAATTCACGCTCGACCGCAGGCGCCGTCGCGTCGTGCAAATTGAATTTGTTAATCAACTGCATTTAGGCTTAATTGAAAGTGCGGATAGAGGCGATAAAAACACGCGCGGAACTTTAATGTTAAATTTAATAAATAAAGGTCGGGTTTGTGTGCGAACTGTGCACGTGCCTCGGGTGAAATTGCCACAATCAACGCAATTTCAAAGTAGATTTTGCAACATATTTCAGAAAATCGATGTACTTATACATGGCTGTGAGATGTACGTCGTTCAGCCCCCAATAATTGTCAATGCCTAATTAGTATTTGCCTTGAGTTGATTTGGGCAAAGGCAAATCATACATAACCGACCAATAACTTGGACAAATCAAATTCAAGTTGTGGCACTTCACACTGGGTATTAAATGCTGTCAACTAATTTCGAGCTGAGGGCGAATAACCCATTTCCTTTTGAAGCTGTCAAACAAACATGAAATGAAATTACGGATTGTAAGCCGTAATGTTTTCCTGTCAATGGGAAATTTGCTGCACATCGAATTTGAGTTGATAATTAGGGCAAAAGTAAATCAGCTCGAGGCAGAAGTTAGTGTCGCAATCTGCTGGAATTTATGTCTATTTCAATAGAAAACATTTGCCTTGACTCCCATACTAAACCATCCTCTAAAAGGGGTGGTATTATTTACTGCAGCGCACCTTTGCCTCGGGCGACCTTGGGCCAAAGGATGCGTTAATTCAATTGTATTACGCATACGCAGTGTGGGCCGAGCACAAAAAGACATGTCGGCTTTTAAAGTGCGCCTTTTGAATTGTCCCTGTTCAGGGAATAGTGTGTGTGTGTATTCCTGCTAATATCTGCACTGCGACAGTTTGAAGTGTGTTTAACAAGAGCGTGTGTGTGGATTCACTCCTTTCTAGAGCAGCAATTAATTAGGCAGCCTTTGTTTACCCATCTAGACGAACATATTGGATTTGCAAAAGCAGGATGCTCATAAATTTGCACCGACTGGTAAGGCTCAAGAAATAAGGTGCCGAGTGCTCAAAACTAAGGCGATGAAATTTATAGCAATCAGATCCTGATTCTGCAAGTAATACATTCCATTTTAGGTCCAAACAAATCAACAGAAAATAGTAAAGATAGTAGCCCCCTTTGTTCGCAACTTTCAAACTAATTCGTTCTGCGCTCAAATTACTTTGGAAATATTTCTAAAGAAACCGCCGCCTGCATATTTCCACCTTTTTTAATATTTTATGCTCTTTATAGGCGCAATGTGGGCTGCATCTGATGGCGTTGCCACTTTTGCTTTGTGCAATTGCTTTTTGCGGATATTGTTGTTAGTTTTACTTTTGAGATCCGTGTTGGTTTTCGCTGTTTGTTTTTGCATTGTGCGATGCCGCTTTTGTTTTACACGGCCAGCATTGAGACTGTGGTTTTTGCAGTAGTTTTAGCAGCCGCGCCGGCTGCCGTGTCCTATTTGTATCCTGTTGGCACACAGATACAGATACAGGGACAGACACAGATACAAATGGAATACCCACATATACTTACGTTCACTCGCATTTATGTCTATTGGCGCGCGTCCATTTCCATTTCATTTCCGTTATTGCAAAACTTTTCGTATTAAATATATTTTTCTCCCAGCGTTTTGTTTCATTTCGAAGCCCTTTGCTGGTTTTTGCACTCTGGCAAAGTTGTTTGTTGCCGTCGTTTCTGGTACTTTATGCGCCGTGGCCATTATTGCAGTTGTTTCCTTTATTGTACAAGTACAGGCATAAAAATCCCGCATTTCCATATAAATATTTTGCGCACTCGCCTCGCCTTCGCCTCATTTATTGTGGCCTACTTACGGACGAGTGTGCTCGTGGGGCCAGCGGCTTACAAATTGACATGCAATTAAATGTAAGCCACAGGCATTTATTATAATTGTTGCACCCCACCCCTTTTTAGCTGGTTTGACTCGCTTCTCCGGGCCCACAATTCCGATTCTGCTCCTGGCCAAATGCTGACGCTGATTAGGCGGCCACCAGCAACAAACTAACATTGTTGTTGCCCCCTGGCAGCTGCAATTAGCATTCTGCGCTGTAATAAATAAAGTAAAATTAACCACAATACCCCAAACAAAACGCTCGACCAAAGTGTCCCCATTAATTTAATTTCAAACAAACAGTTGGCGTACTGTTTTTGGCCAGCTTTAAATTGGAAATATTTTAAACTGTTTACCATTACATTTACAATTACCATCATATACATTTCAAGACTTAATCCATTTTCGCATTATTTCTAAAACATTTTAAAAGTGTGATTGCAAACCTACCCCATGCATGAGTTCGCTTAATTAACAGTGACATGTATTATATTAGTTTGACTTGCCATTTCAATACTTTATTTATATGCGCATCTATTCTGTAAAAATGGGGTTATATATTTGCATATTTTATGGGTCAACAACGCATTCAAAATTAAAAAGTGACCGCAAATTTTTAGCGCATTTGAATAAATGACACTGAACATCGGTAAAAAACATTATACCGCAAATCAGGTTAGTTTTCAACTTCCTATCTCGTTAGCCAAATGTGGTCAAAAAAGTAAGGAGAATTTGTTTATCTGATTGTCGTGGTGTGGTGCACTACGAATTCGTTCCACCCGATTAAACTGTTAAAAAGGAAAGGGATTATTTGGTATGTTTCGAGTATTGGAAAATACGTTGCCATAAATGTATTTTATCCTACTTTGATGGAAACAAAATTGATTTAGAAGAATTAATAAAGATTTTACATTTTACAAACTAATTTACCTTACTTTTTGCCGACAGTAGTAAATGGAATGCAAAAACTGCTAGTTTAAATTTTTATTTTTCCGTCTGACTCAACAGCAAGCAATTGTGACCAGTCTTTGGCTATGGAATTTCGGAATAAGTAAATAATTTTCCTAGGAAAGCACAGCATCGCTGAACCAGAAAGTCATGCGATCGCCCTGAGAAAGTTTTTGAGGTACTGCGATCGAGTGATTTCTAGCCACTGAGTTGTAGCGCCTGAAGTTCTCATTTCCGGCATTTAGGCGATCCGCCAGCTCGGCAGCCTGCTGGTTCAAGGATTGTCTGTAGGATAAGGCAGTCTCCGACTGAATGTAGCTGGGCCCATCCTTCGATTCAGGGAGCACACTTGACGTGTTGGTTTTCGATTTGAAATTAGTCTCTGAAGCCATTGCCTTGGAATTTTTGGAGATAAGATCAGAGGCGGGTCGTTCCTGGGAAACCCCCTTTTGAGAATCTTGGTTTTCTGTCTTAATGGAGTGTTGGGAGACGGAATCAGTATTTTGTGGCTTTACAGAGGGTTCTGAAGGTGACTCTTCAGTCTTTGATTTTACGGATCGCTGAGTTCCCGTTTCCGAGGACTTATCCGATACTTTTGATTTGATTGCGGTGAAGGAAACTTTTGCGGACTCCGAGGTCTTCGGTGTCTTCAAAATGGATTTTGGAGTGAGTGTAGTATTCGAAGAACTCCTGTTCGAGACCTCCGATTTTGCCCGGGAAGTTTTCGAGGCCTTGGCATCGATGCTGGCTTGACTTTGCCTGGGAACGCTGTTCGCCTTGGAAGCCACACTGGAGTCCGATGTGGACACTTGGAAATTGGCCCTACCCTCACCACTGGCCTGTCGGCTGGACCTTACTGGCATCAAAGTGCGTAGCGAGTCCTTTCCCACCGCTTCCTTTGACCGGGAGTCCTCCGCAAGCTTCGTCCTTGAGACACCACCCGCATCAATGCGGTCTTTTTCGTGGATAGCTGCAGCCTGCTTCTTGGCCACGGCCATCTCCTCGTTAATGGCTTTGGAAATGGCCACTTCGCCCAGCTTTGTCGTGCCCAGCTTTGGCTTACTCTCCGCCTGCAAATATTCGGGCTTGGCCACGAACACCGGTGGCGGATACGTAACGCAGGTGGGGATTTTAAAGTCGGAGCGGGCTCCACTATTGGGGGGTCCCACATTGAACGGATTGAAGGGCTCCACGTCGAAGTCATCGGGAAACATATTGCCCTGTGAGGATTGCAATTGCATATGGGTCATCTAGTTTATTTTCTAGTCTTACACTCCACAACTTTACGATCACTCACTTGTTTGGGGTTGAATTTTGGAAGGTGAAGACTTTCTAGTCTTTAAGTTGGCCAGCCGAATCGGGTTTTTGTGTGATTTTTGAATTGCTACTGATTTATAACATTTAGAATAAAGTGACACAAAAATCAGTTTGTGCTCCAGTTGCAATGTATACATAGGAGTATTTTTTCTCTACTTGTGTAGCTGAAAAAGTACAGTCTGTAATTATGGAAGGCATAATTGGAGTGCCCACATGCACACCATTGGTTATCCTACATTGGTATATCTCTAAGAGCAATCTCTTTTTCCCCTTTCTTGTCTGCCTTTGTTTTTTTACTATGACAGTCTGGTCTACCTGCTTCAGGTTCTACTCTGGCCTTAATTAAAAACGCCTCCTGCTTCCTCTGGGCCCAACTCTGTGTATCAATTCAGAGAGTACGTGCTGATAAGGTGTAAAATCCTTTGGCTCTTTTCATTCATGATGGAAAGCATGTTTCAAGCTGTTGCTCAGAAGTTACAAGTGGCAAATTAATTAGCAGTCCGAAAGGTTTGTGAGAGAGTGGCAGAGACTAAGCTGTCAAGATCCTTTCCCCCCTCTAGACAGTCTTTCGATCAGCTTTTCGGTGACCGGTAGTTGAAATTCGAGTGTGGAAATTCTAGAAATAAAAAAAACAGAGAAACGGTTCTAATATGACTAGTCTGCAGAAATCGGATGGAAGTCAGCCAGTGCAAGGCGGTGCCCCGCAAATCCCCCAGAATGGAATGGTAGCCTATGGAAGCGGCCTCGTATTCGGCGGGAATGTGTATCCGGTGTTGGTGGACGGAGTGCCCATGCAGCCGCCCATGGGCGCTCATCAGGCGGCAGTGCATCAGCGGATGCAGATGCAGATGCAGCAGCTACGGCCGCAGGCTCCACAGATACAGGGCCACAAACTCGTTGCTCCACAGCCGCCCTGTCCGCAAAGTGGCGCCCGAACAGGGACGCGATGTCCTGCTCCCTCGTACATGACCAAACCCCACCAGCAGAACTTTGGTCCTGTCATGACCCAGCAGCAGCAGCAGCATTACAGCAACATCGCCAATATGCAGCAGCTGCAGGCGCAGATTCTTCAGCGGCAACTGATACAGGCTTCCATGGGCAATCCTTACAGCCATTACGGCAACTACAACTTGCAACCGAATGCGGGTGGCGACTCCGGAGGCTGGAACGGCTATGCCATGATGCAGCCAGCGGATGCCAATAAACCGTATTCCTTCGGCTAGAGCCTCACCGATTGAGACCGATTTGCATATGTGGCTGTGTTGGGGAAAACCGATGAAATTAAATGTAAATTTGTAAGCGCTCATCTTCGGGGATTAGCCCTAATCAACTTATGGTACTGTGCAATCCTTTGGGGAACCCTTCTCTGGGGTTAACTTGGCCATCATTTGCAGCAGCTCGCCTCGGTTCCTTTTTTGCACTTCGTCGAGCTCTGAGGTTGCCTTTCAGTGGTGGGGGCCACCTCGGTTCGGGGGTTGGTCGTCATTTAGTGGTAAATTTCCGTCTTAGTTGCCAACGAACGTCAGACGTGACATTTTGCAAATTCCGTTTTCAGCATTTTGTAATCGTTCCAGCATACGTGAGCCACTGAAAGTCGATTCCCAGCACCACCCATTTGGCTCCTGATGCGGTGCTGTTGGTGACACTCACTCAGGTTGTTCGTGGTGCTGCCGGATAGCAGGATAGCAGGATTTCAGGATTGCAGGATTGGAGCTTGTGTGGGCCAGCGGGTTGTAACTGGTTTTGTAGTGGCTTCCGATTTTTTCACTGGTTTTCAGCAGCTCTCGTTATGATACCCTATATTAAAGACCCATCAAAACTATTTTAAGGCCATTAAAATGAGCATGAGTATCAAATAAAAGTCGTCATTAGGGGAAAAGCTAAAACAATTGTCGGCTTTCGGTTTGAAATGCTTAAGAATTTATTCTCTTATTTATGGAAAAGAATTTTATGTACGGTGCTTCAGATTCTGTGCCAGTTTTCATTTAAATTTAATTTCTTTCAAAGCACAGAAAAGTCAATTATAGCTGTCGGTTTGTGTATTAATTTAATAATTTTTGATACCACACGTTGCTTCGGTTGTTCAAAACGTGTGAAACAATAAAATAAATTGTTGTAGCTTAAGGAAAACTTAATATTCGTTAAAGAAAATGTAAAGTTAAACATATTTTTCGAACAGTCGTATCTTTTCACATATATTGAATGTTAAGTCTATGATTCCGAGGGTTATTTAAAGAAAATATTAAGAAAGAACGATATAGGACCGTAATAAAGAACTCTGCTGTACCGTTTTAGAAACCACTAATAAATACCAACAAAGTCTCGGATTTCCTCGAATTCCCTCAAATGTTCCTTTCAAAGGGATCAACTTTCTGCTTACTGTGATAATTAACATTATTTCCATAAATAACTTTCTTTGTGGCGGGCCTTCGAAGCTAAGCTCCTGACGTCATCGGAGAAAACTCAAACCGCAAGCTGCATGTCGGCAGGCACTCACACATACACTCTCGGCTCTCTAATGATGATCCCCAAAGTCAACTTGCTAAAGTAACACGAGCTCAAACATGCATACACACACCCTGGGACGGCGGACTCATAAGCACACAGTGGTATTAACGCCATAATTCGTAAGTCACACACACACAGGCGCCGCAAAAGGGATTAAGTTATATTAAAGTTGTGAGCGCTGCATTTTAAGTTCCCCTCCTTTGACGACGTGAAAGTGCAGGAGTGCAGGAAGCCATGAAGCCGAAGTCGAAGCGAAGCCAAAGCCCAGGGGTTCGCACACTCGATCTTTAGGGCAAAAAGGACTCTGGTGGCCCCAAAAAGTGCGCTATGCAAATTTCGACTGACCCACATTTAAATAATAATAATATTCGGAGCCCGTCGAGCCCGTTATAAATGCAATATATGGCATAAGTTTACGCACTGCAATCCACGCTCATGGAAAAACTCCCTGGCTTGTATAAATTTGCAATATTTTTATATAGTTGCAGTCGCCAGTATTTTTACCCTGCAAGTTACAGGTCAAGTGCTAATTTCTGTTCTCTTATTTTATTCCATTTCATTTTTACTGTTCTTGTGCTTGCCTTTACGTGTGCGCACATTTATGCGAAAAGTTTGCGCGAAAGTTTAATTTTAAAAATGCATTTCCACTGACTTTGACCGTCGCGCTAAAAAAAATTAAAATAGAAACAGCAAAAAAAGAGCCACAAAACCCGACAACTATGACCTGTAAAGTTCCAGATGCAGGGAGACTGAAAATTAAATCAAATAAATTGACTTTCTTTTGTTTTTAGTTTTGCGCATTTAAATCAATTTACGCCCGGCCTTTTCTCCACCGCCTTAATTAATTGCCAGCTAACAGCTTTGTGCCTAATTGTTTTGCCTTTCGTAGCACTGGCAGTAAAGAAATGTTTTTATCTTCGAATGAATTCAAAGAATTCCCTAATCCAGTGGTGATGTCTGATTAAATTAGATCTGCGGCTGCAGCTGCCAGCGAATTTAATTCGCAGCCTGTCATATAGTATTCAAGCTGCTTCCTAACACTCCTGCCGAAATATGGTTTACGACTCCACCGTGTCTAATAAAACTTATATGTCTGGGAGCCATAAAACCCGCACAGCAACCCAATTCCAGACCAAATGGCATACGATTTTTGGGCCAGACCGTTCGGAATTTGCGAGGGCGCTCGAAAGCGGAGCAACCAACTTGTTGAAGTGTTTATTGTTTAGAATCCCGCGGCGTCGGCATCGGAATACATAAAACACTTTTTCGTTTTGAATAAAAGATACGCAGATCAGAGTCCTGGAGGGCGAGTAGGTAACCTTCTCAACTCCTGTAAGGATTGCGTGGATGTCTGCGAATCGGATACGCATTTCAAGTCTGAAGGAGGCCTCTCAGACGGTTTTTGTGCAGCTAAGATGTATAAACGCGTTCCATCATTTTTTATACCCGTTACTCGTAGAGTAAAAGGGTATACTAGATTCGTCGGAAAGTATGTAACAGGCAGAAGGAAGCGTTTCCGACCCCACAAAGTATATATATTCTTGATCAGGATCACTAGCCGAGTCGATCTAGCCATGTCCGTCTGTCCGTCTGTCCGTCTGTCCGTCTGTCCGTCTGTCTGTCCGTCCGGATGAACGCTGAGATCTCGGAAACTATGGGAGCTAGGCTATTGAGATTTGGCGTGCAGATTCCTGAGCTTCTTACGCAGCGCAAGTTTGTTTCAGCACAGTGCCACGCCCACTCTAACGCCCACAAACCGCCCAAAACTGTGGCTCCTACAGTTTTGATGCTAGAAGAAAAATTTTAACTGAAATGTATTGTTCTCATCAATACCTATCGATTGACCCAAAAAAAAGTTTGCCACGCCCACTTTAACGCCCACAAACCGCGAAAACCTGTGACGCCCACAATTTTCATGCTAGATAAAAAATTTTAACTGAAATGTATTGGTCTCGTCGATACCTATCGATTGATCCAAAAAAAAATTTGCCACGCCCACTCTAACGCCCATAACGCTTAAATCTGTATACCGCCGGTAGGTGGCGCATTTTAATCTCGCTTTGCTGCTTGCATATCTCCATATAGCTGAGTAACGGGTATCTGATAGCCGAGGTACTCGACTATAGCGTTCTTCCTTGTTTTTAAATTAGCTTGGGTCGTCAGGATTTTGTGTCATCTGTATGCGCTGCGTATGGACAAATCTTAAGATATATAAAAGAGGACTAGACCAGCCTATTTTTTACACAACATTCCATTGGGGGCCTTGGTGCCCACACTAAACAATATGTCCCATTTGTTATGAGATATGTACAATATACATTGTACAAACTTTTCAGGATGAACTGGTTTTTATTTTTATGAGAATAAATTAATTTTTTAAAGTGGTGGTAGCTTTAAGCATTCTCTATACGGATGTAAAATCAGACCATTCGTAGCCAGAACTAAGAACCAGGGTACAGTGAAATGGTACTTTGAAATAGTTAAGTTTTTTAGTCACTTCTTTCATTTGCAGAAGTCTGGTTTTAATCGGGTCTAGCTTTAACAATGAAGGGCTAAAACTCAAGTGTTCACAGTTCCTAAACGCCTTATGGCATAGACGTGTTTTTAATGTCGCGTGCATTTTCCTTCTCCGGTTTCCCTAGCTTGAATCTTCTAAATTTATTTAACCAATCGGCTTATAGAGGTTTAGTACCGAAAATTGAATTGAATTGACAGCCACGCCCACTCTAACGCCCATAACGTTAAGATAAACCTGTCTAGCGCCCAAATTTTTAAAAAAATTTTGTAAGAATGTAAATTAATTTTTGTTTTATTTATCTTTGCTCATGCCAAAAATTATTCTCATCGGACTATCCATTAAAAAGTTATTAGGACAATAAAGGAATCCACGCTAGGTGGCGATGTTGCGGGGTGTGAAATTTTGCGATCCGTCCCTTTTCTGAACCTGGTAAAAATAAGAAATCCGTGTTTCAATTGTCAACCCTAGCTGAATCTATAGATTTTTCGATTTTTCCTGTTACACCTACGTATATTTTAAATCACAATGGAGAGAAACAGCGTTGTCGGTCGGAATACTGTCCGTCGAACTGCTCGTCATACCAGGCGAAGGCGGTCAACCGGAGGAATCGAGGGCAACGGGAGCAAGACTTTCGAAGTGCAAAAGCTGGAGAAACCCCCGGAGAACAGGGCCTTACAGCAACGGGTCTTCCTGTACATCCAGCTAAACGAGTTGACCAAGCTCCCGAAGACGGACTATCCTCTGGAGCTGCACCTTTACCATCCGAAGAACACTCTGCAGAAGATGCAGGAACGCTACACCACAGAGACCATCATCTACCAGCACGAGTTCAACCTGAAGAAGCCGGTATTCGCATTGGGTGTCATGCAGGACGACATCGAGGACATGAACACGTTCAGCGATCAGCCGCTGTTGATTTCCCTCTACCAAAGGATTCCCAGACGTCGCAGGGGGGGAAGAAAAAAATCCAAGAAAGCTGTCTCATCAGCTTCGCAGGAAGTCAGTCAATCGAATACAGGGGCCTCGGAGAATGGTGAAAATATTCGAAGGAAGTCTTATCCCGATGCCGAAGAAGCTGGGGAGGAAGGTGAGGGAGGTAACTTTTCGGAGGAGCGACTGGAGCTGTTGTCCCGCGGTCATTGTGATCTCTTACAGCTTTTTCAGCGTCGCCGCTTCATAAGCGACATAACCATCTTCCTGTACCCGGAGTACCACACCTTATCGAAGGCAAAGGGCCATGATAAAATCACCTCGTGCAGCGTTTGGCACATGT